GCCAAGGCAAGGATGCTTCCTCAGCACCAAGGGCTCTGACGCAGAAATGGGAGGCGAGAGTGAAGGCCAAACCCATGCAAGCAGCCAGTGCTACCCAAAGTTTGGCATTTGTCCCCCAAGGCCACATCAGAAATAGAAGGACAAGCAGTTTGAGGACAAGGAAAGAGAAGTTTATTACTTTGCCAGCAAAGGAGGAAAATGGCAGACAATGGTCTCAAAATCCAAAGTTCAGCCTCTGAGCAGAAGAATAGAGCTTTTTTTTTATTGTTGGGGATTCATTGAGGGTACAAGAAACCAGGTTACACTGATTGCATTTGTTAGGTAAAGTTCCTCTTACAATTGAGAAGCACAGAGCTTTTAAATGTTAAAAGCTATAATCCCATCTTGGTCCAAGACAATTTCACAGCCTCTGCCCAGGTTCATCCCATCTTCGGCTAAAAGTGATGGCCTCCACCCAGATTAACCCATCTTCAGCTATCTCCTGTGGCACAAAGAACAAGAGACGTTCCCTGCCCCTCTGACCACTGGCCTGAGGCAGGGATGCATGTTTCAGTTCCCCAAAAGTTGAGGAGACACACAATACTATTGCTGCCTCTTCTGTGCTCACAGCCCAGTCTCATGTGACACAAAGGACAGGAGAAGCAGCGGGCAAGTAGGCAGTCCTGTGGGCTGTCGGTCCACTCCATGCTGAGCTGCTGCCTAGAGTCTTAGGTACCCCTGCCATCCCAGTGCTCACAGGGGCTTCCCAGTGGGGGAGCAAACGTCCATTAGTCAAGTGACCACACAAATGTCAAGTGCACTCTGTGTGACAAGGGCTGCAAATGAGCAGAAGGACAGGCTGCCAGGACGTGTAGCAGCAGGACCGGTGAGTGTGGAAGGAGGGCCAGACCACAAACCCCTGCTCCGACACACACTCAGCTTCAGTATCCGCACATGGCATCTTTGGGATAATAAGCACTTAGGTCAGCCCTAATACAAAGGAATTACCCACCAAGCTGGATCATAGTGAGCAGTCACTAAGCAGAAGAGGATGGTGATAAGAATGGTGGCGATAAAAACTAAGGTGATACGGTCAGGGAAGTCTTCCAGGAAGAGGCCGGTGAATGAGCTGAGGTCTGAAGAGTGAACAGGCATGGACTAGGCAGACCAGAAGGAAAGGCATTCCATGCAAAGAGGACAGCTTACGGTACATCCCTGACAGAAAAGGCAGACTGTCTAGGCAAGGAGAACAGTTCCCAGAGCCTACTGGGGCACCCTGGTCAGAAGGACACCCCTGTTCTCAGAATGGCTCTCTCCTGGGAAGCTTTCCCAGTTTACTGTGAGCCCCCAAATATGAGCTTCATCCTTGGTATAACTACCCAGTTCCATGGCAGAGTAGAAAGTGAAGACGACACAAGCATCTAGCTGAAGGCCCCAGATGAATACATGGGACTATGCTCTCTGTCGACTAGGTGCACAGTGCTAGCTCCCATGGGGAATGCAGGCCTGGGATCCCCTGGGTCAGAGCCTCTTCCTACTTGTGCTGCTCCATGGTGTTCACTGAGGACTTTACAAGATTCCCAATGGAGATGAAGATGCTCTTGGGCACCTCCACAAAGGACCACTAGGTACATTAATCCGCCAGCCAGACAAGCATTCTCGGAAGGACAGAGTGGGAAAGGTTGTCAGATAGTGATCGGCGAGAGACAATATTTCAACTAATTCTAGGAAATTTGGGATTCATCCAGGGCCAAGCTGGGTGGATCTCATTCCTAAGGATTATTTTTCACTTTGAATATCTATTATTACTTCATCAACAAGAACAAAAAAAATAAAAAGTTAGGGGCAAAGGATATAGAGAAGAGATGTTTTTGAGGTCTCAGTGTGCTGGAAGACACAGCAGGTAGCCAACACAAATCCAACACAACCTGTCCCACATGGAAAGGTGAAAGACAGTGGCCCCAGCAAACTCAACAGCCAATAAACCACCAATTTCAAGTACATGTGATCAAGTTATAAATCTGGTGTTTGGCTGCACAAACAGACTTTGCTACCCTCACTCTTTCAACAAATACTTCCTGAGCCAGGTGTATTGAGCTGGCACTGGGAACAGAGATTGTGCCCGCGCGCATGTGTGTGTGTGTGTATGTGTGAGTGTGTATGTGGTCTCCACCCTTAAGGAGCTCAACTTACTGAGTATAACAGATAAGTAAATCCACAGTTACACTGGCAAGTGCTTTGGGAGAGAGAGACATGCAGGGTGCTCTGCGAGCCAGGAGGAAGGTCACTTCTAGGTCATAGAGGGGTGTGGAGTGTGGAAAGAAGAGTAAAGGGAAACTGGAGCTGAATTCCTCAGGTAGGGAGCAGGGCCCAGGTCATGCCCAAGAGAAGGCCAGTAGAGGAACCAAGAGGTGACGGCTCTTGGTGAAGAGCTGATATTAGAAATGTCAGTTAGGGGAAGAAGGAAAATATGGAACGTAGCCAAGGGCCAGATGATGAAAAGACCACAGGCTTCCTGAAAGGGCTTAGCTTTCAGGGAGGAGATCTTGGAGAGTCTGAAGCAGAAGGAAGCCATGGTCAGCATAATCCAAGGTCATAAAGACCTGGGTTCAAAACCCTTTACTATGGGCAGGTTATTTAACCTCTTTATGACTTGAATTCCTTACGGCTGAAATGGGAATATTAATTCCCCCATCATAGGTCATTGCAAAGATGAAATGAGATGATACATATTGAGTACTCTGAACTGTAGTTGGTACCATAATGAGTGTGCAGTAACTCATGGCTCTAAAGCAGTTACACCTGATGCATTTACCCCCATAGTCGACCATCTCCCTACACCGACCACCTCCTTAAGTTGACCTGATATTCATAGACTGGACATGCACACCACGTATGTATCAGTGCAGTAGCCTAGTTCCTTATGTTGACCACCTCCATATGTTGACCAGTTTGTCACAGTCCCTTGGGTGGTCAACTTACAGAGGTTCTACTGTACTTCTTTAACTGCTACATTCATGCAAATCAAGTAAAAAACCTAGAATTCAAACCAAAGAAGGTACACTGAAAATACTCAGAGCACAAGTTGGTATGCAGTTGAATGCCTCATGGAATGGTCTCAAATTTCCCATACTTGTACAGACTCTGCAACAGTAAGTTTTATTTCAATTTTGGTCCACTCCATTTTCTTTGCCAACTTATACAAATGCAAGTATTTCCCCAACAGATCACATCTTGTTTCATGGCAAAAGTCCAAACATGGGCTGGATTCCATGGTGCAGGCTGTGGCAGAGTTATGAACACCACACCTTGAAGGGAGTATAAGTACACAATCACAAGCCCCATGTACACAAAAACTCCCAAACACAGCTTGGCTCAAAGGAGGAAATAAGAACTGGTCACAGCATGCTCTGCCCGCTTTAAGCTAAAGAAAAGGTTATTCTGACAAGCAAGTACCTGTATCCTAGGCGTCTCCCGTCTTTTACTCCAAGCTCTCTATCAGTGGTCTATTTCAGTAGCATCACCATTCTTTAGCCCTCCTTTATGTCTGACCTTATGAACTCCACTTCCTCTTCCCTTCCACTCTCATGGCCACCTGTAAAGACCTGTCACAAGCTCAGCAGCCTTCCTTCCCAGCCCTTCTCTCTGGTCTATGCTGCGCCATCCTCTTCCCTTCCTGGGGCTCTGTCACCTTCTCCCTCTCACTCCAAAGTTAAGCACATTCCCTAAGGCTCAGCCCTCTGTTTATCCTGGGGAGAACTAATTTAATCCATGGCTTCCATTCTACTCTCCAGACTTTATCTTCTCAGCCCAGGCTTCAACCTTGCATTTCCGATTGTCTGCTGGACATTTCCTAGAGATGGACCACTGTCATCTCAAACTAGATGCAGCAACCACCCCCTCCACCCCAGCATCCACATTTCTGTGAATCACCAAGTTTAAATTTTTACCTTCTTTGTCTAAGAAGGCTGAGATCCTCTTGGTTTTCCCTTTGCAGAATCTCCCCTACTATCTTTGCTTCCATTTCCCCCATGTCCCTGGGCCTGGATAGTTGCTGCCACCTTCTAACAAGGCCCCAGGCCTCCTGTTCAGCTATCAGATGAATGTTCCTGAATGTCCCTAAAATGCAAACATCACTTCTACCATTTCACTTCTTTCCCAAAAATAACTTCAATGGCGTCCCACTGCCTTCAGGCTACAGTCTAAGTCAGTAGTTCTCAACCTTCCTAACTCCACAGCCCCCGTTCCTGTGGGTTGCGACCCACAGGTTGAGAACCACTGGTCTAAGTGCTTTCTTTCGCCCAGCATTCAGGGTCTAGAAAAGGAGTTGCCCACTACAGCCCACAGGCCAAACCCAGCCCACCACCTGCTTCTGTAAATAAAGCTGTCCTGGAACACAGCCATGCCCATTCATTCCCGTATTATCCATGGCTGCCCCTCACTATCACAGCAGAGTAGTGTAGCTGTGACAGAGGCCCCATGGCCTAGGAAGCCAAAAATATTTAGCATCTGTCCTTTACAGAGAAAGTTTGCTGACTCCGGACTAGAATAATGAGACACCAGCAGATCCTGCCAAAGTTCTTGCCCAGGACTCTTTTGGATGAAACTTTTGCTTCTGTGGATCTGAGTCTATTTTTTTTAACACCTTTTATCCATGTTCTCGAGCCCTGGACATGGATAAAAGGTGTTAAAAAAAATAAGAGCCCATGTTCTCTTATTTTACTCTTCCCTGGACTTTTTCCAATTTACCTTTTCCTTCAAGACACAGGTAAAGCTCTACCTTTCCACGAGGCCAGCTGCAGCCATCCTCTCCTCTGGCCTCCCTCTCTGCATCTGCCACAGAAACCTGCAGTGAGGTCTCGCTTCTCCTGCGTATCCCTTCAGCCTGTACAACAGGCTTCTCTAGGGCCGAGCCTTCAGAACCCGCATAGAACACCTGCCAGTGACAACCACCTCGTCCTTCATTCCAAATATGAGTTCTCACGCTCATAATTGGGTAAGAAAGCTTTGAACAAACTTACCAATGAAGGCTTAGGATTCCACATTTGAAAAATTAAGCTTGGGTCCAAAGTATACACTCTAGCCAGCACCACCTAAAAGCCAATGAAATAAAAGTTTAGCTTTAAAAGAGAATATTTATACATTTTCTTTAAATTCATAGCATCCAACAACTTATGATTTACCACCTCCTGGATGCCCACCTCTACTTCTTTGCCTAGAAAACCCTGGCTTCTCCTACACATCCATTGGATAATCTTTCCCTGGAAGTCTCCGCAGTATCCCAGGCAGACCAAGTACCCCTTTCTCTCAGCTCCCATGGAACTCTACTGACATGTCTGTAGTAACACATGGCACATCATGGTACAATTCTTGTTTAGGAGGAAGGGACAGTCCTCTACACTTTAGGCTTTTCAAGAGAAGACTGTTAATTCACTCCATCCCTCATCCCCACTGCCTAGAGCACTATGGGCATTTAAACCATCCTCAATAAATATTTGTAAAATGGACGGAAAAACAACTTACTCAGTTCTTTAACATACATCTAGGGACCCAAAATTCTGCTAGGTCACAATTTTCCCCATAGAAATGCATGCCTCAATCCTACTGCTTTTAATAGGCAGTGATTTAGCAGGAAGGATTAATGAGATTAATCAAAATGCACGCCTTTGGAATGACACTGCCCTGGGCAGAAACCTTCAGAGGCTCCTAGAATCTAAGAAAGGCAAGTCCAACTCTGCAGCCAGGATGCCAGGCCTGCACCAACTGGCCTAACCTGACGCTGCAGCCATGATCTACATGGTTTCCGTCATGGGCCCTACCACCCAGACCCCAAGGACACACTCCCCTCACGGTGGGATGTCTTCTTCCACATCTTTCCACATTATCCACCAAAGTGTCATCCAACATCCCAGACCAAGTTCACAGAAAGGCCACAAGTGCTATTTTTCCTTCCATTTTTAAAAATTGTGGTAAAAAAAAAAAAATTGTGGTAAAATACATGTAACAAAATCTATAATCTTAACCACTTTAAGTGTCCAGTTCAGTAATACCGAGCACGTTCATGCTGTTGTGCAACCATTATACCAATATCGACCTCCAAAACTCTTTTTCTGCAAAACTAAAACTCCAGACCCATTAAACAATAACTCCCTCTTCCCATCTCCCTCCAGCCCCTGGCACTCAGTAAGTTTTTGTAGAATGAATGAATAAATGAATGAATGAATCTGATTCAATCCAGCTCACAAAAGCCAGAGAGAAGTACTGTCCCTTCCTTCTGGACTCCCATGGTACTAACTTCACATTTTTCTCAAATTTATTCCAATCAATCTTAAATGGTTGTGTTTTTTTTTTGTTGTTGTTTGTTTGTTTGTTTTGCATAATTACATTCCTCTTTAGGTCAGGAACTGTGACTTATTTGCAAGACAAAGCTTAGGTCCAACAGTGTGCATCTGGCAGTCCTCCATTGGCCAAGACGTGGGCCCCATCCCACAGCTGGGACACCAGTGAATCGGTCCCTCTTGACTACTCCCAGTACTTGGCTTCCAGGACAGCACCCTCTCTGGGTCTTCCACCCACCCTATCGGCTGCTCTTTCCCTTTGCTTATTCTCCCTCATCTCCTGGTCTCTTAGGTCAGCTCAGCCCTCATACTCTTCTCTTCTCTGTCACTCCCTTGGTGCTCTCCTCTCTATGCTGATCATGGCCAGATTTTTCTCCAAGCCTGAACCTCTCCTCTGAGCTTCTGACTATTACATCCAACAGCCTAGGTCAAGCAAGACATCAAGCAGAGGGGAGCTCTGCGTAACGCACGCCGGACCTAACACATCCAGCACAAACCCCTGCACTCCCCCAGAACTGCTCCTCCTACTGTCTTACCCACTGCAGTTTAAGACAACAATCTTCTAGCTGCCTTGGCCGGATGAGACATTCTTGTCTGCTCTTTTTCTCTCATTCCACAGCCAATCCTCATCAAAACCGGCTTTCACCTTCTAATGAATTAAGAATGTGACCATTTCTCAACACCACCATAACATCCTAGACTGTTGTGCTAGCTCCTAATTGGTCCCCTGCTTCTCTGCTGCTACTCCTCAAGTCACTCCTACCTCACCTACAGTCCATTCCCAAAAGAGGAGGAAATGCGGGGCAGCATGAATCAACCCATGTCATTCTTTCCTGAGATCCCGTCAAGGCCTACCAGCAAGGACAGTGCCAAAGGGACAGAAGCTCCCGACACAGACCAGCAGGCAAGGGCAAACGTTTGCCTCTTTTCCTCCACCCATCTCTCCACTGGCAGTTCTCACTATGTTGCCTATTACGATTTCTCCAAAAAAAGAATGTTTTTAAAAGGAGAGAAATGCAATCAGTTCCCTTTTCAGGGTACCACAAGAAGCCAATGACACACATTTCTCGAGCAGCAACAAGGTATGTCTAGTCTGGCCACTTAGTAACTCATTTCCAAAGGTAAGGCTGGCTTTCCAGAGACTAGCCATCTACTCCCTTAGGGTGCCGGGGGAGTCCTTGGTAAGCCCCTCTTCTCCGTGCCTCTGCCTGGCCACCAAAGTCCGTCTCAGACTCCATCCCTGTCTCACAGTGCTGGGGCTGGAGGCACAGCACAGACACAAGACCTCAGGACTCTAGCTCCAACTGTGCCACTTCTAGTCACACATTTCCAACCACAACCCCACACAGCAACCAGAATGATTTTACTAAACCTAACTTTGATCAAGTCCCCTGCTTAAAACACAACAAAGAGTTCCTTCATCACCATACTATGCATTCCTCAAACCCTCTCCCAGGAAGCCATGGTAAACAGTCTTTATTAACTCCCCAGCGGATGCCTTTCTTCTGCCTTCTTCTTTAAAAGATTCTACTTGCCCCAGCAGGGGTAGGCACACAATCCAGCCCAGATTAGGGAACTCCACTACCTGGCCACAGGGATGGGTCCAAAGGATACACACATCAACCAAGGCAGATCAGTCAGAACCTTTCTCTAGAACCAAGGCACAGATGCAGAGAAAGCAGCTCCCCTGTCCCTGGGATTGTTCCCTGAGGCTGTCTGCAGCTGTGTCCCCACACGGGGAGGGCAGCCTGTCTGCAGGAGGGAAGACTGATGCCAACAAAGGACAGAATGCACGGAGTCAGCCAGACCACTAGCAGATCAGCTCCCATTCCAGAAGATCTGCCTTTTGTGCACCCCTCCGGCACCCATCCTATTATGGAGCCAGTAACTACCTACTCAGGCCTCAGCTAGCCGGGGTCCCCACAAGCCTCGCACGCCGCTGCTTGTGACTTTGCCTGCACCGTTTGCTCTGCCCAGAATGCACACCCCTGGGTTTTACATAGCAGCAGTCCGTTTGTGCCATGAGGGCAGGGCCATGTATTTGTGTTGCTTTCCTGTGAAATCAAAATGCCCAGCCAGAACCCATCACCTAGTAGGTATGCAGTATTTGCGGTCACAGATCACATCCTACCCTCTTTGGGATGGACTATCTTCCCCTTTATGCTTCTAATGAGATCACAGTCTATTAACAAGTCCATCTCCAGTTTCTGCCTTGGCACTCCCACTCCCAAACACACGTATGTTATTACCCTCCAGCCAGGACTTCACCAGTGCCTGTGGGCAGCACAGATTGGAAATGGCCCCCTGCCCTCAGAGGGCATGCTGGGTCCCTCCCACATCACCTGAAAGGGTCCCCAGGCTTGGCCCAAAGACCCCAGATGGTGACGGGAGACCCCTGCTGTGCTGCCTCACCGCCCATGCTATGTCCATGCTATCTATGTGCTAGGAAGAAAGAGTGCCTTCCCTCTGTCTGGAGGCTTAGTCATGAATGAGCACTGCCTGTCTGTACCAAAGCAAGAACTGTGGGGCAGAAGAGGCCACGCCACATAAGACACAGCCCAGAGGACATTCAGATACCGTTGTCCAAAAAATTTCCCCTCTTCTCCCCTCAGGGTAGAAAGTGAAACCAAAATGCATTAGGCAAAAGCCAAAGCCTCAGAATGACCTTGAGTCCTCTCACTCACACCTCACCACTGACCCCACAGCAAAACCTGCTGAATCACTCCTTCAGACGAGATCCCAATCCGCCTGCTTCTTACCATTTCTACCACCACTGCTCGGACCAGCACCTCCCACCACTTACCCAGACAAATGCACCAGCCAGCCACCTCTCTCCCCATGTCCTCCTTGCCCATTCAGTCCACTCTCTACGCAGCAGCCAGAATGATCTTTTTTGTTTGTTTGGTTGGTTTTTTGCAATTTTTGGCCAGGGCTGGGTTCGAACCCGCCACCTTCAGCATATGGGGCCGGTACCCTACACCTTTGAGCCACAGGCACTGCCCCAAAATGATCTTTTTAAAACATAACTTAGAACCTGTCATTCTTCTTTCAAAACCCTGAAATGTTCCTGGCTCCACTAATCATTCGCCAGGTAACCAAGTCCTTGCAGTGACCCCAATGGCCTGGCCCCACTGGCCACCCCATCCTCACCATCTCTCACCCAGCTCCTCTCCTGTCACTCCACTCCCGCCATGTTGGCAACCTTTGTTTTGCTGTTTCCTTTACAAAAAATCCTCTTCCTCCAGCTAAACACACAGCTCACTCCACCTCATTCACCATAGTGTGTTATGCTGGCTCTGAGTTCATCAGGATCCCTTTCCTCTGCCTTGTGGGCACCTGGCGGGACTTCACTTGCAGGTAGGGGTGGACACATAATTGGGTTCTGACCATCCGGAGGGGCACATGCCTCTTCCATACCAGCCCACCAAAAAATGTCCTCATAGAACCTTCATGCTCCAGCCTAATGCAGAGGAAGTGAGGGCCCTAAGGAAGGCAGAGCATGGAGAGACCAGCAGGGTCCCTCCATGACCGTAGGAAAGGATGCCTGCTAACGAGGTCAGCCACCATGGAATTTTTCTGTACAAGAAATGCAGTTTTATTGTGTTGCTACAGTGAGATTTGGTGGTAATATAACAACCTGGTCTCCTTCTCAAAGAGGCCTTCTTGGACCACTCTACTGGAAATCCTCCCTGCACTTGTTAGCTAGCCTCCTTGCATTATTTTTCTCCATAGTCCTCACTAGCATTATT